ACACAAAATGGTGGTATAATACATTAATGCAGCATTTATGTGTATTTTTAAATTTAAATTAAAATCCGTTAATGTACAAAGTACTAACAAGACTTTAAGAAGTTTTTGTTTGATTGATATGTGAACTAGATGGGAACGATATGAACTTCCCGCCACTTTTCCAAGGATTTCTCCATTAATTAGCATTTAATTAGGCATTCACTGGTGTCCCCTCTTCAGGGGGGGACAATGTCTCTTTAGCTTATTAAAGTGATGGTGACCTCTCAGCCAGAAAATTATTTACACGTCAACACACAAATCAAATTTCAGATGCAACATTGACTCACTGAGCAACCAGCTATTGTCTGCCTCTAACAAAGCCGGGTTGGTTTAACTGGAGAAAAGACTGTGATGGTAGGACACACCGACTGAAACTGACCAACTGTCCTAACCGTCCGTAATCCCTGGAGTGGACAGCTTTTGGGTATGTGTGAGTAACTATCCTCACACTGAGAGCCATGATTAGCATGTATGCAAAAACAAGTGCTGGTGGGATAAAAAAGTAGAAGTCAAAAGAACAGCCGGCGCAGGGACGAGGCTATCTCAGCTGCTCTCCTCCTGCTTTAAGTGCTAATTGAGCTGCCCGCTGTCCTGACCCTGACCCCCGGCCTATTCACTGGGTCCCGTTCTCACGGCCGTGACGCACCGCTGGAAGTAGCCTCTGGGTCCCCCGCCCACCCTCGGCTGGACAATGAGGGTCACCACCTCGCTGCCCACCATCTTGACATCCACCCCCACATTTGACAATGGCCCCCGGTGGCCTCGGAGCTGCTCACAATGGGCGGGCGCGCGTGACAGAAGTGGTAACGTGGCCTTCTTAAAATGCAACACCGGGTCTGGCCGGCCTGGCTGCGTTAATCGGACCTTTTGGCACCCGCAGGCCGGGGTCAGAATCGATCCGGTGCAAGAAAGATGATGAGGTCTCCTGTGAGATTCAGAACTGGCTTCGTTTTCTGCATCAAATAAGTAAATTAGACTACAGTTACATTAAAGGAAGTACATTTACGTAGATATATTTACTCCAATAGTGTCCTATACTCGAGTATTTTCAGTTCATAGTGTAAATAAATACTTTTTACTCCGCTGCATTTATTTGACAGCTATAGATTTTTCATATAAAATATATGATCAGCTTGTAAAAAGCTTCAATAGAGATAAAAGCCTATAATAAGTTATAGTGTATAATGCTGCATATGCTCATGCATCGAGAGAAACAATTCAATAACATAATGTTACAAAGCTCTAATTGCCATCATTACTCATTTTATTTGTAATACTGACATGTATGAACAAAAAATAATAATACACAATATAAATATAAACATCTTTCTGTACACACGTATAGATAATTAATACATTAATAAATAAACAGAGAATATTTGTATGCTATATGTAGCACTGTCTATCTTACAAGTTGGTTGAGTTTGGTTTATAATTTGGGGACAAATGCAATCGACAAAGTAATTATTTCATTAGACTGATTCCACCAGATACCTCACCAACTAACAAAACATATCTGAAACAAAAGATGGAGCCAGCAGCAGCATCGACAGGTTTTAGTTTAGTTTTATTATATTTTCCATTACAGTATGTAATATATAATGTCAATATTCTCAGATTTCCATTTCATATCTTCAACTTTTATTCAATATTCTCAGTTGTCTATTTCAATTGTCTCATGATTAATTTCCCGGTGACTAGAAAGCCCTCTCAGTTCAGTTCAACAGCACCACAAACTGCAGGAATTCTCCTTCCACCGCTGTCCATACTTCAATGTTTAAACACTGATGTCTTACTGATGCGTTCGCAGAGATTAAATCAAATAAAACTGAATTATTTTTAACACAGCTGCCAAAAGCATTCCACCAAAACACACAAGTTTGTGACAGAAGAGATGGACGTTCAATCTCCACCATCCGCTGCTGAGCGCCTATAAATGATGATAAAACGACGCCATTACAATGGCCGTGTAAAGCTTAATGTTTCAGAAAAGCACTATAAACCCTGGCCAGGGGGGATAATGTACGCTTTGGGATGGATTGATATTCTAGTTGAATATGACAAACGACACTTTAAAGACGGCCCGCCCACACTATTGCACTTTAGCGGAGAGGACGCCATATTTCATTTTGAGCACGTTCTGTCAAATGTTTGCATTAATAACAATCGAGGCTCATCCGTGACCCCGCAGAGCCAGCGGGAGCGGCGGGCGGGAAATGAGAACGCCAACAATAACACTTAAAAACAGGAGAGATGCCGTTGCATAATCAGCACAAAGTGTGTCTATGTGTGTGTGTGTGTGTGTGTGTGTGTGTGTGGGTGAGGAGGTGGGGTTGCAATTATCAAGCAGGGATGAGATGTTGAGAAAAAAATAGACAGTGAGCTACTCATGTAAGTTATTTGGAGGGTGTGTGTGTGTGTGTGTGTGTGTGTGTGTGTGTGGTGTGTGTGTGTGTGTGTGTGTGTGTGTGTGTGGATCTGGAATTGGGCCCAGGGAATATCAGGAACCTTCTCTCTCTCTCCCTCTCTCTCCCTCTGGACTGACAGCTTGGCTAATGGCAAACATTCCTCCTCTCTTTATTCCCCACTTCATCAACACCCTCGCCTCATTACCGTGAGTCACACTGTAGCCCAGTGCGCACACGCGCGCACACACACACACACACACACACACACACACACTCCCACATACCTTCACAATGTCTTTACTGCTGGTTGCTCTCAGAGATTATTACAGGGACCCTCTTCATGTGACAGAGCAGCTCAACTGAGTCATTTTGATTTGAGGATCTTGAAACGCAGTCACTGAAGAAACTGCCTTCCTCAGTGGAAGAAAGGTGGTGGACAGAATCACAGAACACCTGACGATGAGGAAGCTTACATGCACGTCCCGGTTTTTGAGTCCTGGTTTTGATCACAAAGAACATAAATGTACCGTTCTGCTGAATTTAGCTTCTCCATATGAACACCAAGAGTGGAAGATGAGAGCAGCAGAGCAGCTTGTCCTTCACATTGCTGGTGTCACGCTTTGCATTTATCATCATCGTTCTTGTTTTTGCAGACTAACTACTATGTAACACACTTCTACCGGAGTACTCCAGCTGGCGTATATAATGAAAAATGTAAAAATACAACAAAATAATGTAACACAAACTCATGAAGAAACACGTCACTGTCTCGATTACTTACTGAATGCTTCATAAAGGTAATGTTTGCTGCAGTTGGGCTGAATTCTCCTGTGTGATGTTCCTGTTTCTGCTCCATCTTTGTTGCTCCTTTTTCTGTTTTGATACTGGAGCGCCACTTTCATATGGTAAATGTAGTTTTAGCGTTTTCATGATTACAGTTGCACACAGTTGATTTCAGTTCCTCTGAGATCTTCTTTCAAATGAGACTAGTTGGTTTAGACCAAAGTTAATCACGTCAAACAAAAAGCTCAAGATAATCTTTTCCACCCCAACTGGGCAATAAATTCAAAATGTTGTGTGAGTTCCTCTCACTTGTTTGATCAACCTTCCCCAATCAGTGAAATCTCAAAAAATCAGAGGCAGTGATTTATGTATTGTTACTCAGAGTTACTTACAATCAATCTGGGATATGTGTGAGCACAGTCAACTGTGGTATATAACTGAAAATCAGATTCTGCTAGTTAACTAGGTCTACCAGGGGTTGTGGACCTGGATCAATTTGAGCGGAGAACACAGTGTAGGTCAGATCTGAAGCCTAGCAGAAGGTAGGTAGGGTTAGCAGAGCAAGTAGTGCCATGTTGAAATTAAAGACCATGTGGTATCTTAACATCTTTAATGTGATGCAAATCCTGAGAGGCTAGCGGTCAATATGTTGTTTTTCCACGACCGATGCCAATTCTGATATTAAGAGAACAGGCCAATATATAAAGCCGATATCAAAACCAAAAAGGTAATGTACAATTCTTCCATCATTATTATTCTATTCTATAAGGAATCCAGGCACATTTACAGCAGGATGTATGAGGGTTATAGTACAGCGCTCGAAACCTTTTCTCCACCTTCTCAAAACCTCACAAGAGCACTAACATCGTCCACAGCAGCCACACTGACAAAGCTGCCAGCACGTGTGTCTGAAGACATTTTTTAATTTATTGGCCTCAAGACCACAGACAGCAACCGCTGCTAATTATCTCAAAATGTCAAATAATCGGCACGATTGATCGGCCGACCAGTTAATCAGTCTTTCACTAAAAGATGCCCAATGCCTTTTATGAATGTGACCTATCATTTTATATTTAGACTGATTCCTCCTCTCTAAACTAAAGTTAAGAAGAACCAAAGAAATAAAAATTAAACTATCTCTAACATACTGAATCGCTTGGCATCATATTGTTTTCATTTTCATCGTATCATGTTGTATCAAGTCGTGTCCAATCGCACTGACTCGCAATAGGAGCGAATCTTATCACATTGATAGTTGCTTCATATGTATCTTTAATGTACCCGATCTGCATTGATGTAGACGCACATCCCCACTGATCGGCCACATTGTGTCTCCATTTAGAAAAACCAGACTTTTCATATTTGCCAATGCCATTAATGAACAAACTCATTTCCCCAAACACGACACATTTCCTCTCTTTATTTCAGTCTTTTAGGCACACACTCAACTGTAAATTGGAGATTTGCGACACAACAGAAAATCCTGCTGGCTTCCTCTCAGAATGGGCCGATACCAGATACGTAAAACCCAAACTGAACCAAACTGAACACAAAGGAATAGAAAAACTCGCCATGAAGTGCCAGTGTGGGTACGGCAGAATACACAGCGGGAGGAAAAAGAAAACCCACAAACAGACATTTTGCTGAGGAGTCATGAGTTTTGAAAAGTGTTCATCTGGGGCCTCAGGTGCAGCAGAAAGCCAATGATAATGGCCTGTCTTTTTCCTCTGTCAGTATAAAGACAACATTACTCAGCCAAGGAGAACCTACCAGCCACGTTGGCCACATCTGTGGTGCTGACGTTGTGAGTGTTTGGGCTCACTTTGAAGGTCACAGCGGGGCCCACCACCCTGTAAAACACACACACACACACACACACACACACACAGTGAGAAGATTGACAAAAGACATCCTTAGAATCTATTTTCCATGGTAGCGAGGTGTTGTTGTTCAGACGGAGGGAGAAAAGGAGTTGTGCTCATTAAAGCTCAGCCATACGTGACGCTCGACAAAAAAAAAAACACTTTAACCTGTGGCGATCCTTTAGGCTGCTGCAATCCCCATCACCACTGCGAGATAACCTCTTGAATCTCAATGTAATGCACCCGGCGGCATTTAAGCACGCTGGGAAATGAAGAGAAGGGGGTCGGGGATGAGAGGATTCTGGCCATCTACTAGAGGACGCTCTGATACATGATTCGCAGACGAGCGAATGCATTTCCAGCAGCCTCGTTTGTGATACATTTACATTTTGATTCGACGTATGCTGATTGCGACGCATATTGTCGTGATCGATGTAAATCGAGGGTGACGGGAACTGGAGCAGCAAGAAAGGCAAGAGGAGAGACAACACAGACAGAAAAGGGACAGAAGGACATCTGTATTGGTGCTTTGGAAAGGTGCCCCCCCCCGTTCATCCAACATTCATGCCAATAAAGCAGCTCTAACTGAAACACTGAGGGAGCGACGGAGAGAAGCTGGGTGGTCGGAGGCTGAGCGGAGTCTCCCAATGCGATTAACCTTTTGTTTTTCCTGCTGTAATTCAGACTAAAGGCCCAGCAGGAAGATATATTACCAGGTTCCCCTCCAGGAAGTATTGTGCGCTGCTATAGGAAGTGCTACTGCTACTGTAACACTTTTATAAAATATGGCGACATTGTTAATGGAGCAGGTCCTTTCCTAAAGCTGTCGACGGGAAGAAAAACATTCAAGATGTTTTCAGGGATTCACGAAAGTGGTTTTCGTTTCAGGTTGATGGATTTAAATTGTTGCTCTTTCACTGTGGGTTGCGAGCGTGTTTTCGAAGGCTGTGCGGACCGCCTCTTCAGTTTCAGTAACAGCATAAGAAAAACTGTTTGAAAAATAAAAATAAGGTAAAATAAGCAGCAACAAAATAAAGAGAAATACAGAAGATAAAAGCAATTCTACCTTTTGTACAAAATAGATCTCAGAAAATGTTTCTCATGTGCAGTCAAATTTAATATAAAATGGCATAATTTCCCGTATTTTTGGCTTCTTAAGAATGTGGAAAATCTTCACATTTTGTCAAATGGCGTGTCCGTGGCTACAACATTTAAAAAAACCAGCCCCGGTGTCCCATTTCACTGGCAAGTCGGAAAATCGGTAGGCACATATATCATGTCACAATGTACACAAAAGCCTCCTGGAGCCATATCCTAAATCGAACAGGAAGTCGGCCATTTTTATTTAATGTCAAACTTTGGCGCCATTTCTGCTATTTCCAGGCCTTCTATTTTATCAAACTCCTCCTAGAGAATTGATCGGATTGACTTCAGACTTTGCCAGTACACTCTATTAACCTTCAAGTTATCAATTCATACATTTTCAATGAGCATTTCTCTAACCATCAATCCAACCAGCCAGGCTTCTAATGGGTCCTCGCCCACACTTGCTATCCTGTTTCACCAAACGTCTTCAAGCCTTTGGATTAACAGCCTTCAATTGACATTCCATGCAGCCATGCAACTATTATTGTGGCTTTTTAATTGGGTTTCTTCTGCCCTGAGGTCAGTGTATCAAACAAAAACACGAACAGCAGCAAGCGCAGTAGTAATGTTAGACTATTCTAACATTTAAGGTGCAATAACAAACTAATTAGACTGGGTCAAATTAATGATCCCCAGGGGAGAACTTGGTGGAGCTAAGTGCTGGAATTGAAAAAGAAATCAACTTTCCTTCCTTTCTCTTTTGTTATGAATCCCACAACGTACTGTCCTGCTCTAGCTACTGTATTCCACCTTTTTTGAAGTTCAAAATACAAACTGAGCAGCCAAAGAGACAAATATCACACCCTGTCCCGGTCGGTCTGTCTGAGGGAGTCCACAAAATGCTCCGGCTCATTTTTCTGACCATTATTTGTCCTGCGAGGAACGAGGCCGATATTTGTCACATCTATGGAGTGATTCATCAGCCGGTGCAGGCAAAGTCTCCGTGTGTGCTGAAGAGGGAAAAATCACTCACGTTGAGTTGATCACATATCCATCCGTCGGCCTCTGCCACCCCACACAAAGACCCCACATCGACTCTGAACCTCGTAAATAACCTCGTCACTCACCGGGCCAGAGGAGCTCACACGAGGTGATTTCTACATCTTCGACTTATCATATTTATCATTTGGAAAAATATGACAACGTATATATATATATATGTAATATGTTAGAAATGTACTAGATGCTAGAATTTTGCTAAATATTTGATAGATTCAGCGAGACTTAAGGCCTTCAAGCCCAGAAGTCTGATCAACTGAAGCACAAATAAAAGTAAAATTTTTGTTTTATTTTTTAAGGTGATCAAAAAGTTATAAATGCTTCCCTGTTTTGTGCAAACCTTGACAATTTTAAGAGATTTTTCCAACATGACTGGCTGATAAAACCGCTTCAAAACCCATTAAAGTGGTTAAGAATATATTTTCATTAAGCTGCAAAAAAATCTGATGTGTTTGACATTTAGAGGTTTTTATCTAACAGCAGCATTATGACGACTGATTGCACGGAAAAAAAATAAGTACTGCAGATGATGATGGCGATAGCTGAAACGATACATCCCACCATCTAACAAAACCAGTGACAGCTACTCTGACGTATGATTGACAAAAGAAAAAATACCTGTCACATTTAAAAAGATAAAACCTCTTTTCTAGAAAGAATGACAACACATTTACACACTGAATGCTCCTTTCTTATGGATATTGAAGGATGAACATTACATTTTTTTTACTTTGTAAATTGGTTTTGGAAGACAATTCTTTAAAACAAAGTGGAACAAATACCCTAAAATCACAGTATTTATAATTATACATTTGTCAGAGGTAATAAAATCCTTTACTTAGGAAACCATGGTGATATCAAAAAGGAAAAACACTCCTTTAAAACTACTGATAATGAAATATGTTCATATTGCTCTATTAACTTCCTTTGGCATGTGATGCATACAACGCATCAAAAATGACGTCGAAATTGGAGGTTGCATTATCCCAGATTAGTTGAAGGATTACATGTAATTTTTAAAACTGAGTTGTCGAGTTGAGCAAAGTTCCTGAAAAGTTTGAGGATACGAGATTTCCCCCGAAACACTCAAACATTTTATAGGCTTATCCCATGCCGACTGTAAAAGCTGAATTTAGGAAGTAAGCCATGAGATACTGTGAGTGAACTGAAATAGAAATATAATATTTCTGTGGAGGAAAAAGTCTCCCAGAGTGAAAGTTTAAAAGGCTCAAGACCTCTATAATAAGCATTATAAATCCTCAAAACTACAGTATATTGTACTTGAGAGAATGTGCTGCAAAAAATCTCAATTTTCTCAAGTCATTTCCATTAATAACTGAATCCTAAAAATCAAATCTTCTTGTTTCATGTATTTTCTAGGATCAAGTGAAATCAACTGCTGTGTTTCTATTGTTCCAAGATACTGAAACTCATCTGGATAAAACTGCTGAACATTGATTTATACTAAAATAAAATGTACCTTTTGGGACTCAAAATTGGGGCTAAAAGAAGCTTTTATCCATCATTAGCTGATTGTATAACAACACACAGAACATTTAAATGGTTCTGGCAGATTTTTCCACTTGTTTCAAGAACCGACTGTAAACTGGGATTAAAACACTGGTGCGGCTGTGGATTTGTTGCAGTGTTCACACCTCTGGCCTTATCAGTAGACATCCGGCCCATCATCCTCACCATCCTCACATGCAGCCAGTTCAGGCCCGCTCTCTCCTCCTAGTGGCGGCTCTTTGATATGACCCTTCGGCTCAGACACAGACATTACATCACCTCGACCCTCCTGATTTAAAAAAAAACATCCAGTCTACACTCAGTGACGGTTACGCAACAGCCATCATTATTCGGCGGCCAGCTACAGTCAAAGGCTCTTGCGAAGCCACCCACATCAACGCTTCCCTCCCCGCCCTCTTCTTCGCCCTCAACCACTACCAGGCCACCGCGGCAGCTAAAAACATTTCCAAGGCCATTTTGCTGAAAGCGCTCACCGTCAGTATTATCTAATCAGTATCGAATTGTTCCAAATGAAACGTAAGGGTGTGAGTCACTCTCCAGGTTTGTTTTGTGTCCTGGCACAGTGTGTAGGCTCGCTTTTATGATTCATATGTTGCCAGTGTGGAAGTTTTGCTGCAGGCTCGCTGAACCGCTGCTGCTCCCTGGCTCCGGCCCCCAAGAGGAAATTGTTAGAAAAGGGAAGTTTTGTTGTCTTTACAGTGGCTGAGGTTGCACAGGTCACTAAATACTTTGTTCAGACACATTTTTGTTGTTGTAATATGCTAATCTGGTGCTATTGTGTAAGGTGTAAGGTTGAGGGGCCTGCAGTGTTGCTGCCTGGCGAATGGATGAAGGGGATGTTGTACACTGAGACGTAGGATAAATGCATGGGAGGGACACATATATACTGCTGTGACTTTATACAGTACTTCCAGTTCAGTTACAGTCAATACAACTTTGTAAAGCTTAAAAACCAGTTCACCTGATTACAGAACCACACATTTGTCCACCCTGATAGCAGATAGTTGGTTTCATTTGTTCAGTTTTTGAGATATCCACCTGTACATCTGAAAAATGAACATCCTTTTCCTGGTTGCTTTGAATAATCTACAGACTTCACTTTAGTGGGACTTTTTTGTTCCAAATAAATTGTTTAGCAAATGCAATTTTTCAGTTTAATACATTAAATCAAAACTATCTGCGTGGCTGAATACCAATGTCAGGATATTATAGATTTATTTTGGAATTAAGGTGATCTTACCCTTTAAAATATCAAGGAAGGTTAAAATAAACTTTAAGGAGGAGGTACAGATTAATTCACCAGTTTCACGTGT